AAAAAATAACATAAAAAATAGGCAGAGGATTTAATTATGCATACTGAAAAACCAATATATTGTTAACACCAGTGTAAAATACATACCCTCATTTTCTCCGTGACTTTCTGCCTACGGACTTCAGGGTCCTGTGTCTCTTCTTCAATTTCAACAGATGACAAAGAAGCCAAAGCAAGTTGACCTACATAATCTTCAAAGAATTCGCTTCCAAAAAGCATTCCAAACACAGCTGCAGGGTCTACCATGGAATCCCTGGAAAGATAAAACAAAATTGCAGACATAGGTATTTTCCACCATGTTTCCCTTGAACATACTCTCTTACAAAAATCATTTCAACACTGTACTTGTAGATACAACTGAAGAAAAAACATCATCTACAATTTAGAAAAAACTTTGTTTAGGCACAACTTAATATCATGAAAACTAATTGGAGGAAATGTTTAGAAATGCATAACCACTCTTTCCAGGAAATTACAAAATGGCATAATATCTTAAGGGATTGTTTTTCAATGATAAAATATTTAAATGATCCTTATACAGAATTGTTATTGGCACTCCAAACTTTCTATATTTGGAAAGAAAAATAAACTTGTGAGGAATGCACAATGAGATTTTTGGAGTGCCAATAACAGTTCCCTTATTATATTCCCTAGTTTGTAAAAACTTACTGTTGTATGCCTGCCTTTCCATGCTTGTCATATGCTTCACGCTTCTCTGGATCACTTAGAACCTGATAAGCCTCGCCAAGTGCCTTTATGAAAATACAATAACCAGGAAATTATGACACAATATGACAAGAAAACTTAAATAAAAAGCAACATTTAGATGCGAATGAAACATTTTCCTGTACTTTCCCACGACTCTTCAACAAACCAACCAGCCAAATATACAACTGGCCTGGGGAGGAAATGTACATATACGTTCAGGGTGGGGTAGCACATATACAAAGCATAGTTGCCCAATTCCAGTTCCCATCAAATTACAACATACTTCTCTGAGTCCTGAGTATTTGTTTTACAATATTGCATCTTGGGAGTTTCCAAAAAACAAAGAAAAAAACACATCGATTTTATAAGTTCAACAAGATGAACACAAGTATAGTGATGGTTATCCATATGAAATTTCAATCACAATATTTGCTTGTCTATAGACAAAGAAGTTTAATGGCACAGATTTGTAGTTAGCTTACCTGGAAATTGTCGGCAGCCTTCGGATCTCCAGGATTTTTATCAGGGTGAACACGCCTTGCCTAGAAACAACACATAAACCCCATATAACATAAATAAAATCTGGGCATACAAATATAACAAGAAGAACTTCCAAATATTTTAAACATGAGAAAGAAATCAAGAAAACATACAGCAAAGCACGGTGCATAATGATGCGGACCATAACTAATAAACAGATCAATGCAGCGTAAGGATCAGTTTTGTTATGTGCTTAAGGCTTTGGAAAAACAGTAATCTTGAGGCTTTGGAAGCCCGATAGTTCCAGGAAATGGCAATATTTCGTAGAGAAGAAGAATAAAATAACAATAGAGTATAAGTTCCAAGCCAGATACCTATTAAAGTTGTGTGAACCGTACCGAACCATGCTACTGAATTCAAACAATGCACTAACTTAAATGGGCAGCTATAAGTAATCAAAAGCAACTACAAACTTTTGAAACTCCTGTTTGGGGAAAACAAAATTATTCTTGTTAACAGTTAAAATTGCTTCCAAAAGTGAAAACAATGAAGAAATTGGGAGAGTGAGAATTTCTAATTACCTTGAGATAGTAAGCCTTTTTTATCTCAGCATAAGAGGCGTCGACATTGACACCCAATACTTCATAGTAGGCAGTGTCCTTCACCATAATTCTCAGATCACAACCCTATCAGACCAACATTACAGAAACAAATCAGTCCATAAATTGGAAAAAGAAAAGAAAAATGGTATTAAAAAAATTAAAAAATTATGGAAATAAAAGGCTAAATTAGCTTCCAAATTAAAACTCCCAAGAAACCAGAAAAAAGATTGAAGGTAAGTGTAGCCAGATCTGATGAGGAGAAAGAAACCCAATTGAAAGGAAGTAGCAATGCAATTATACAACACCTCAAAATTAGGACACTGTTATTATATTCCAGTTTAATTAAAGCAGGCAAAATGGAACAAAAAGAAAAACCCCAACAAGGGAAAACTTTGGATCGAGCAACTTACGGTTTCAAGAGCTCAGGCAATGAAATTTGGACGATGACACGAGCAAAGCATAGGCGGCAGAGAACGAGAGCGCTTTTATTTTTATTTTATTTTTTTAATTTACCGCTGAAAGCTGAAACTCCCGTTTAGTCTCATGTTGCTTCGTAAAATTGGTTTCGTCTCAGTCTATTTTCTGAAATTGGCTTTTTTATTACATTTTTATCTCATATTTTCATTCATTTCCTCCTTTAAATTAAGGAGTGATATGGATATTTTATTTTTGACACAACTCTTTACCTCTAACCTGCCTATTAAAATGATCTCAATTCTATTTTTGATAGCTCTAATTCAATCCACGTCCGTCTCTCTTGTAAAATGGTGTATAAGTGTAGCTACAGCAGCAAAAGCAAAAGATGGATTGTATTTCAAAATCTAATCCCAACTACTCATTGAATCGTACTACTATATTTACAGCTTGCACCAATCCGCAAGAGATAAAGACAAGGTTTGAATTAGGGTTATAAAAAATGGAACTATGATTGTTTTAATCATGGACCAAAATATCGATATTATCGGCGATATTTTGCGGATAATATCCTTTTTGTAAGAGGGCGATATTTTCACGAGTATCCACTTAATTATCATCAATATATTGCGATATTATCGGAGGAATTCGTCATTGTCGCTTGGAACCCTACTCCCCCATTGACGACGACCTCTTCAATCGCCTCCTAGACTCCCTCCTTCTCCTCGTCTTCAACAAGATCGGTGACTTGAAGACCCTCGGCCGTCGTTGCGTCGTTCTCTGTGGAGGTGAACGACTCCCGACGATGTGACAGTCATTGGATCCCAGTCATTCGACAGCGGGACCCACTCGAATCATTTTCGTTTGCCGTGAAACGACCTGTGGTGATCGGAACACCTCTAGACACCCACAGCCTCGCCGGAGATGGGTGTGCCTAATCCTGAGCCGATTTCATCCCAAAAACCTTGGAAAAACACGAGATAGAACTTAAAAATTCACATCTAAGCTTCAATCTAGAATAGAAAGAGGTAAACCCGAAGCTTACCTAACCGGAGAAGATTAAGAAGCTTGCAGAAGAGTTCCTACGTTCGCCGAGTTGCAGAGACGAGAAGGAGAGGGAGAAAGACGAGGTTTGATGATGATGATGATGATGGTAATGATGTTTGTACGATGGTGCTGCCGTGTGTGTGTCTCGACGACAGAGAGGGAAGAGATAGAGGGTTTCGAGAGAGAGAGAGTGCAGAGAAAGAAGAAGAAGAAATAGAAAGCAAAGAGGGTCACGGGGTAGGGGACGGAAAGAGAGAAGAGTGAGGAGTGATATGGTGCTGCCACGTGGCAGTTTGGAAATGTTTAGGAATCTAGAGCAAAATGAAATCTCAATAAAACTTTAGGGGACTTACGAAATTATACATATAATTGGGGGTTAGGGTGTTACACGCCACACCCACTACTTGCAACCCAAAATAAATAAATAAAACCCTAATAGTTGAGGTAGTTTTGTGTAATTTACCCTAATATTTATTATCTAGGATAAATTTCTATATTTAAAAAAACACCAAGGGATTTGAACCCGTCCCATTTTACTCATTCAACACCTTTTACCACCATATCACTTATGTTTTTGTGAAAATATGCTAAAATATTTATACGTATGGTTTTGTTTTGAATTCTTTTTGCAAGAAACAAATCTACACATAGAGATGATGAAGATAGTGAAAATTTTGAACCTCATAGGAACTCTACGTGGTACTAAGTCACTCATGTATCTTACCATGCAATGTATAAAGTGTAAAATATTGTACTAATTCATTATATATAAATGATTATGGTGTGTTTAAACTTCTTTCATTAATTACTACATATTTTCTACACTCACAATGTTTGCCAGCTCGCTATATAATCAACTTAAATTAGTTAAATCTATCATGCAATGCATTTCCTTCCAATTTTTTGTGATAAACTAATAGATAATTGACTAAATAAACATCCTGCAAAGTTTGAATAAAAATTTCCAAGTTTTTCTTACAATTTCCGTGGTTTTTATTTAATTTTTATCGATATCGATAATATCCCGATATTTCCAAAGAAATTTCCGTGTTTTTGGACTACCGATATTTCCGATATCATCGATATTTTATACCTTGGTTTTAATAGGCAAGTTTTTTTTTTTTTTTGGCCAAAGTTTTAATAGGCAAGTTGGAGCCAAATAGTTGCATAAAAAATGAAATGTCCATATTAACCTTTAATATAATGTCTATTTGACGGAATGGATTAAAATGAGGTGAGCTGAGACTAAATGAAACGAAATAACAATTTCAAAGGGTAAAGTGAGACAAAACTAATTTCAGTGGATAAAATGAGACTAAATCACAATTCATAGGACAAATCAATTAGTAAATTTTTTTTTCTTTAGCTATGCTCCGCATTTATTTATTTATTTATTTGAAAGTGCTTATGCATTACATTTTATTCTGTCTTACCTTATTCTTCTACTCTCTTCAAATTTGGTGCTTCGTATTACCTCATTTTATCAAGAGGGGCCTTGAGATAGGCACCTTGTTTTTTAATTTTTTAGATTAAACATCTGCTTTTTTTATGAATTTCATTAAACATTCTTCCTAAATCTTCTAAAATGTAGTAGATAAGTTTCCAAATCTTAAAACACATCAAACTTGATCTAGTTATGCTTCGAACATACGTTGTCTTCTTAACTCCACACCACACAAATAACTAACGTGCTATCTTCTTAAATTTTTTAATCTATCGTCTACTCTAATAAAGTATATCGTTTGCTTTAAAAACAAAAGATCTTCTAAAATGTAGTAGATAAGTTTTAAAATTAAAAGTTTGAATGGGATGAGACAGAGACAGCAAAATCTACTAGAAGGGAGCTGCCATGCACGAGTGGAGCAGCATTCCAGATTCTCCCTCAAAGAAATGGAGATCACCACCATGTCTGAAGCCATCCAACTCCACGCCCAAATTCTGAAAACAGGCAGCACCCACCACAACCACAACCAGAACCTCTCGAAGCTCTTCACCTTCTCCGCTCTCTCCCCCTCCGGCGACCTCTCCTACGCCCGTCTCATACTAGACTCCTTCCCTACCCCCAACTCTTACCACTACAACACCATGATCCGAGCCTACTCTCAAAGCTCCGACCCCATTCAGGCCCTCCATCTCTTTCTACCCATGGTTGCCAAACCGACCCGCCATGCACCCCGCCCCGACAAGTTCACCTACCCCTTCCTCCTGAAGTCATGTGCCCGTTTGAGACTGACCCGTGAAGGAAAACAGCTTCATGGGGTGATAGTCAAGTCGGGTCTCGGGTTGGATCGGTATATCCAGCACTCGTTGATTCATATGTACTCTTTGGGTGGGGAGTCGGGTCTTGCTTATAAGGTGTTCGAGAGAATGTCTGACAGAGATGTGGTGTCCTGGACTTCAATGATTGATGGGTTTGTTGACGATGGGAGGCCCGTGGAGGCGATAAGGTTGTTTGAGAAGATGGTGGATGATGGGGTTGAGGTGAATGATGCAACGGTGGTGTCAGTTTTGAGAGCGTGTGCGGAGACAGGGGCGTTGGGCGTAGGGAGGAGAGTGCATGGGGTTGCTGAGGATAGAGGGATTGGTTTGAAGCCTAATGTTAGTACTGCCCTAATTGATATGTTTGCAAAATGTGGTTGTATACAGAGTGCAAGGCGGGTTTTCGATAACGTTGTGGATAAAGACGTTTTTGCATGGACGGCTATGATATCCGGCCTTGCAAGCCATGGCCATTGTCAAGATGCTATTGAATTGTTCTGTAAAATGCAAGATTTTGGTGTGAAACCTGATGGGAGGACTATGACTGCAGTTTTATCGGCATGTAGGAATGCACGTTGGGTTGAGGATGGTTATGCGTACATGACAAGTATGCAGAAGGATTATGGACTTAGGCCTACAATTCAACACTATGGATGCATGGTAGACCTCCTTGCTAGAGCGGGTCATTTGAAAGACGCTGAAGAGTTCATCAGGAAAATGCCCATGGAACCTGATGCAGTTTTGTGCAGAAACATGATATGGGCATGCAAAGTGCATAACGATGCCGATCGAGCGGAACGCTTGATAAAATATCTTCAACAGCTAAAGACGAATTCAAATGATAGCGGAAGTTTTGTACTTATTGGCAATGTGTATGCATCAGCAGGCAAATGGCACGACAAAGCAAAGGTTAGAGATTTGATGAAGCAAAAAGGACTAGTAAAGCCACCAGGGTTTAGTAGGATTGAGGTTGATGGGGAAATCCACGAATTTGCTGTCGGAGATTCAGGACACCCTGAAGCCGAAACAATTTACAGAAAGTTGGAAGAAATAGAAGATTATTTGAGAAAAGAAGGGTACAGTCCCAAACTTTCAGAGGTTTTGCTTGAAATCGACGATGAGGAGAAAGCTTTTCAATTGAGTCACCACAGTGAGAAGCTTGCTCTTGCCTTTGGTCTGATTAGAACACGTCCGGGGTCTGAAATTCGGATCGTGAAGAACTTACGGTCTTGTGAGAACTGCCATGCTGTTATGAAACTAATTTCAAAGGTGTACCGACGAGAGATAATAATGAGGGATCGAATACGATTCCACCATTTCAAGAACGGAGATTGCTCTTGCAAGGATTACTGGTAAGCGTCCAATATTAATAGAAAGATTCATCTTGAGTGATCAGTTCTTTTACATCTTCCATTTAAAAAGCCTGAAGAAAGCTTTGCTTATCATTGGATATATAAACATCATAAGAAAAACAACGTACAACAGATTATAACACATCAGGAGAACCAAACAGCTCCATAAAATCGGGAAAAAAAAAAGCCTGAAGAAGTTTCATCTTCTTCGAGTAATCCTTAACAGAGGAGAAACTATACCCTGCATCTCTTGGAACGACTGTTGTATCTGAATTTCCTCCTCAATGGCCCGTTTAAGGTTTCGAATATGGCCCTCAAAGTATCAGAAACCCTAATCTCAACAACCTCTTTTGTCAATCCCATCAAGAACCCTGAGTAGCTCGGCACGCTCAAAGCGCTTATGCAAGAACATCAGCAGCAATCCCAGCTCCTCCAAATCCAAATTCAATACGCATTTCGGCAGTTGAGTCCGAATAAGTGGTGGTGATGATAACGACATGGCATTCTCGGATTCTTGCTGCGCAAGACAGAGACCAGAGCTTCCTTGTGCCTACATTTCTTTAACAGCTTGTCATGCTCAGCCAATTTCACTTATTTTTGGCCTCATTACCAAGTAGTCCCGCTCCGACGGCTTTTCATGTATACTAATTAATATACATGTATTACAGCATAAATGGACTGTTATCTGCTGTACGGCCATTTGGCTTGGCTCGATTAGATTTTCTGTTGAAAAATAAATTTGTAGAGACGCCATCCGAAACTTGTAGAGCATCAAGGACATAAAAAAAAATGAATTAACACCCAAATAGAAGGGTTCATTGCATTTTCCCCTTTCTCTCTTGTGTTTAGCCAATGTGTATTGTTGTTGATGTGTGCGCTTCCAATCCGCATCAGTCTACCTCCAATGTATGATCGTTGTTTGGGTGCTTGTGAAATTTGTGTGATTGCCATTTGGGATGTGTAACAATTGAAAGTGGATTTTGTTGAAATAACTCACATATTTATGAGAAAAGAAGAGTGTAAACATCCCAACTCTGCTCCAACTAATACCAAGGCTTTTGTGATAAAACTCCACACCTGTTGGACTGGCAAGTGGCAATTAGTTGGGGACAATATCGGTGTTGTTGCAAGTGGGCCTTTAGCCCGTCTCTTTGATAGTTTGACATGGTATTAGAGCCATGAAGCTAGTCTGTACTGCCACGTGATGGGTGGGTCCCATTGGCCCCGTGCAATGATGGTGGGTCCCTTAGCCCTATACGTAGGATGAGTCCTCTTGGCTCCCACGTGTGACCCACTAATTGTGTCCCATGTGAGAGGGCATGTTGAACTATCCTACGTCAACCATATCTCTCAGAAAAAAAAAATAGTATAAATAACTTGACCCTACCCCAACTAACACTGACGCCTTTTGTGATCAAACCTCACACTTGATGAACTGTGTAGGAGGTAAGTATCAAGTTGGGCACAATATTGGTGTTGTTGGAAGTGGGTCATTGGCCTGTCTCTCTGATAATTTGACATTGTATCAGAGTCAAGGAGCGGTCCCGTACTGCCACTTGATGGGTAGGTCCCATAGGCCCCGTGCAATGATGGTGGGGTCTCTTGGCCCATGTGTAAGGTGAGTCCCCTTGGCTCCACGTAGTTGTCATGTGTAGATCTCCCATGTGTGAACCACCAATTGGATCCCACGTGAGGGGGCGTGTTGAAATATCTCACATGAGCAATATGAGGGAGGAAGAAGAGTTTAAATATTCTAAATCCACTCCAACTAGTGCCAAGGACTTTTGTGATAAAACTCCACACCTGATAGCTTGTGCATATGGTAATTACCAAGTTAGGAACTGTTTATACCATATTTAGGGCCTCGTATTTAGACCTTGTATAAATACTCGGGGGACTTAAATGTAATTGTGTGATAAAGGAATGGGCAAATATGTAATAAGTGAGGAGTCCTTATTCTATAAAAGGACCCCTCACCCTCATAATTAGGGGAGGCCAATTCCTAGGCCCTCTCACCCCCTCTCAACGCTCTCACTCTCAGAGCTCTCTCTCTCCCTCAAATAAATACAATCAGTGTGGACGTAGCCCAAACCTTGGGGTGAACCACGATACATCTTGTGTTATTTACATTTCATGCAGATTCACCGCCGGATTTACGTTGTTCCAAGACCTTCGGTTTTGTGCATCAACATTTGGCGCCGTCTGTGGGAATCGACACGAAAAGTTATGTTGGTTCTCTTTTAATTTTTCACCTCCACCGTGAATCTGCAAAATCTGCAAAACCACAAAAAACCCAGAAACAAAAATGAAACCTACTCCGTGTCTGCTTTCTTTTATTTTGGGTGCATTCTACTCTGTGTATTTCAATCACCAAAAAAAAAAAAAAAAAAAATAGAAGTCTGCCTCCACCAACTGAGAAATTAGACTTAGAACAACATCAAAATCTGCAAGTCCGATGTGAAGCAGAAAAGGTGTGGAGGTGCTATTATTTCCGGCGAATAAGTAGTTTCGAGGAGCGAACAACACCACCACCCTCCTGATTTACTCACAACTCCTCACATGGCGCAGTCGCAATCAGAGCAACCTCCCAGTTTGGCCTTTGATCCCGAACCCGAAGACCTTCGCTTTCTCTTCACCCACACGATCCTGAACCAAAACCCCAAGCTCCTCCACCTGTCCTCATTGCCTCAAAAGCCCAAGGCCCCGAGACCAAGCACAACGGGCCTGGCCCGCTACGGTTCCGCCCCAAGATCCCTCCTAAACTCAGCTGTGGACTCTATCATGGGAGCCGCCGCCGACCACGAATTCTCATCCCTCCGACCGCAGCACCTACGAGGCCACTACTTCTCCGGAGACGGTGGCGGTGACTCTCCCTCCCTCACTAGCTCCGAGTCCAGCTTCAAAGTCAACTCATCCAACGGCAGCCATAGGGACACCAGCACCACCAAGCCATTGCTCCAATCGCATGGTCTGAATGAGATTGGATCTTCCAACTTTTCTTCTTGTTCTTCGACGTCGTCGGCGGCTCTGGTTCGCCAACGAAGCTCTCTAGCTAGCTTCTTCAGCCATCTCACCGCCTCTGAGAATAATGGAGGATTCTCAGTTACAAGAGGAACTGGAAGCTATAGATCACAAGGGGGCAATAATGGTGGTCACGGAGTAACAAGATTAAAGTCGCAGTTGAGCTTAATTGGGCAAGATTCTCTTTCTCAAATCTCTGAGGTAAGTGAAAATGCTGGTAAAGGTGTTAGCACTGACAACGGCCACCATAGTGCCATGCATTCTTATCCCGCCACTAGCCTTGGGATGGAATCCTGGGATAATACAAATTCGGTTGTCTTTTCAGCTCCACCAAGTAAGCGAGCTAAAAATATGGATGGGGACATATTTAACTTCCTCAATGCTTTAGAATCTCAGTTTAGCCTTCCCCACACATCTTTAGAAATGGCAACAGTAGATAAGCTACTGCACATCCTTGAAGATTTTGTTCCTTGCAAAATCCGTGCTAAGCGTGGCTGTGCAACTCATCCCAGAAGCATTGCAGAGAGGGCAAGTGATCTGGGTTGTTTCGACGGTTAACAAGGATCTGTTCAAGAGGCATAGTGGTTGTCAGATTGTGGTGGGTGAGATTGGGATGCGATTGGATTTCATCTGGGCAGAGAGATCAAGAAAAGGAATACAGAAAGCAAAAGCAAGGAGCGGAGAGACAGAAAGGAAAGCAAAAATGAAAGCGAAAGAAAAATAAAAAAAGGAAATGGCATTATTCCCTTATCTATCATCTGCCAAAAGAAAGAAAAATAAAGAGAAAGCAAAAGGGAGGCACATGGGGACACTGCAAAAGCAAGGAATAAACATCCCACCAGAATGATGTAATTTATTTATTTTTATTTTTATTTATTTTTATCTTTCGGAGATATCTGTATAAACCCCATCAGAGGTTAATATGTGCAAACCCCATCATAGGGTAAAAAAAAAAGGCCCAAAATAAGGGGCTGCAATGTCATGTGGAGGGCGAAGGTCCATATGCCCAAAAGAGCCAAACCCTTTATTATCACCAACCAGGTGACCAAAAGTACGCCCAGTACTCCACAATTATTCAGCAACCTACTGCTATTACCACCAACCAGGTGATGAAATGTACAACCTGTACTCTCTTTCATGCCACCAACCAGGTGATTAAAAGTACGCTCAATACTCAAAATCATACATGAGCATTACTCGTGTCAATCATACATAAACATTCATGAGCATCACTCATGTCAATCATACATAAACATTCATGACCTTCATTCATGTCAACATTCATAAGCATCACTCATGTCAACATTCATGAGCATCACTCATGTCAACATCTATGAGCATCACTCATGTCAATCAACATAAACATTCATGAGCATCACTTATGTCAATCAGCTTTAAAAGCTTCATTTACAGAGCTCTAGCTTCAAAAAAGCTTCATTTGCAAAAGCTTTAACTTTAAAAGCTTCATTTACAGAGCTCCAGCTTCAAAAGCTTCATTTGCAAAAGCTCTAGCTTCAAAAGCTTTATTTATAGAGCTCTAGCTTCAAGAGCTTCATTTACAGAGCTCCAGCTTCAAAAGCTTCATTTACAGAGCTCTAGCTTCAAAAGCTTCATTTACAAAGCTCCAGCTTCAAAGCTTCATTTACAGAGCAGGGTATACAAATACCGCCTCCGAACAACCGCCACTTCGGCTCATACATGGATTCAATTTGAAGTCTCCAGCCAACAGACTCTATTGACCGAAGACTTGGGGGACTACACTATACACCATATATTGGGCCTCAACTGTGCCTCATTAAAAATACTTGGGGGACTATAGCCCATCATTCATGTATTGAAGAGCGAGCCCTTATTTTATAAAAGGGACTCATTCACCACCATTAGAGAGCATCGCCGCCTACTGAGCAACCGTCTCGCCGCGAGCATCAACTCTAGCCCATCATTTATGTATTGAGGAACGAGCCCTTATTCTATAAAAGGGACTCCCTCACCATCATTAGAGAGCATCAACTCTAGCCCATCATTCATGTATTGAGGAGCGAGCCCTTATTCTATAAAAGGGATTCCCTCACCTTTAAACGTTGCAAGTCGAGCCAACCAAGGCAACATAAGCCACGAGCCGAGCAGCTTCGTAGCGTGTGTTACTTCTAGTTGAGCATCATTTCAGATTGAGCACTGCCTCATATCGAGCATCAGTTCAAGACAACATCTAGTTACTTCGGCCCACACATGGACTGAATTTCAAGTCTCCAGCCAAAAGACTATCTTGACTGAAGACTTGGGGGACTACTGTTTATACCATATTTAGGGCCTCGTATTTAGACCTAGTATAAATACTCGAGGGACTTAAATGTAATTGTGTGATGAAGGAATGGGCAAATATGTAATAAGTGAGGAGTCCTTATTCTAAAAGGACCCCTAACCCTCACAATTAGGGGAGGCCAATTCCTAGGCTCTCTCACCCTCTCTCAACGCTTTCACTCTCAGAGCTCTCTCTCTCCCCCAAATAAATACAATCAGTGTGGACGTAGCCCAAACCTTGGGGTGAACCACGATACATCTTGTGTTATTTACATTTCAAGCAGATTCACCGCCGGATTTAAGTTGTTCCAAGACCTCCGGTTTTGTGCATCAACAGGAACAATTTCAATGTTGTTAGAACTAGATATTTGACCTGTCTCTGTGATAATTTGACAAATTTGATAAAGGTCATGATTCATCAACTGATGCGGATGTGGAAGTGCACGCATCAACAACAACTGCATATTGGAAAATCACAGTAGAAAAGGATGAAAAGCAAGGAACCTTTGCTGCTCTATATATTATAGTGCATAATTTCTCTACTTTGCATGATTATAGTTGCTGATTGAAGCATTTCCTCCAGATGAAAAGAGTACAAAAAAAAAAAAAAAAGGTAAATCTATTAAATTTAGTCCCAAAAGTTGTGTTTCTGCAAAGTGCACAAGCACAACCGCCAAGTTCATGCTTGTGCTCCTTTATTCCTACATATATATTCGAGATCATCTCAGAAACTATTAGCATATTTGCTGACCAACATGGCATAAGACTGCATTGAATTTCATATGAACTTGTAGTTTTGAGAAAGCAAAAGATATGATACTTGATAACAAATTCAATTGCTAGATAAAGAGTACACGACAACAATATCAGTTAGTTTCTTCTTTCTTTAAATCCAACATCTCCATATATCACAAGACAAGAAGAAAAAAACATATATATTCTTAATTTAAGGACTGTTTTGAAAGTGCTTTTAAAATAATTAAAAACGCTTTTGGATCATCAAAAGGGCTTCTGACTATGTTTAGCAGAAAAGTTAGAAGTGCTTTTAGGTTTAAAAAAGCGATTGAATTGTTTTATGGAACAAGCTACTATTGTGTGCTTTTTTGGAGAAACATTTCAAGTGCTTTTTCAATGAGCACTTGCATTTTTATTAAAAATTCTAATACGCTTCTAATAGAAGTGATTCTATTGAAACTGCTTCTAAATTTTTGAAGGAGTAGTTCCAAACGAGTTCTTAAACTTTCTTTGTTTATCCTTCTTTAATATTTCACTAATTTATATGGTCGATGAAGACACATAGTATATTGGTGGCAGTCAATTGTTAAGAATAACATCAATATGATTAATAAATCATTAACAAGCATCAAAGTCTTAAGTTACAGCCTATCTAACATGATCAGCATAACTTTAATTAATTTAAACTTCCAAATAAAAACTAAAATCTGGCACTAAAAAAAAGCCAAAGAACTGGGACACCTTTTGGTCCTTTTTTCCCCAATCCATGTGAGCCATTCAAAGAGCATGGCTGGCCTCTGGCTTTCACTATCCATTCAGTAATGCCTTTAAGGACACTTCTTTTCCATCATGCAATCAAAATCCAAACATTAGTGAGATTGGCAGGTGGTTGCATCATCCTTGTTCTCTCTTTTAGATGATGGGTCTTATTTGTAATGCATACAAGTAGTATATACTTCCTTTTCTTTTGGACTCACTTTCACGGGCACGTGGTGAATTGCGTTGGCAGTTGGCAGGGTTTTTCTTTTCAACCTACTATGAGTTGAAACCTTCTTCCCTTTCTAGTGTAGCTCAGGGTATGTTTTCTTAACGGAATGGAAACGAATATGTTTCACTGGTCTTATGCAATTCCACAAGCAAAACCACTGTGAAATTAATATATAGATCAAACATTAACTGGAATGTAATAACTGCAGAACATTAGCTAATTTGACTATAATAAAATGAAAACTGCAATGCAACCTACGTTTTGACCTTCAAGAAAGTGGTACTTCGAGAAATTATTATGCAGTGCAGGTATAGCAAAGAGCCCATTTATTAGCTTGACATTTCAGATACTGAAACACCAAACCAGAAGAACACAAATATCTCTTAATATTCATGAATGCCTTCATTGTTAGAAACTTAGAAGGGCAACCAGCGTATTCCGAAATAAGCATGCACAAAGAACTTGTATGCAATAGCATAGAACTGTTGAACTTCAACAACTTTTGGTGACATTAGCATTAGCATCCCCACTTCTCTCTCTCTCTCTCTCTCTCTCTTCATTGCTGGTGTTGACTATTGACAACCTTCACCCCAGTTGTGTACGAGAAATTATTAAGTGGTATTAGAACTAGTACTCACGTATGTATGATATGGTTGGACGACGAGCTTATACTACAAGATCTAGTATTAAGAACTTTATACATGTTGCTAGAGGCTTATAGCTCAAGTCTGCATTTGATTTGAGATCTTGTTTCCATTCTTCCCTCGCTCATATTGAAATTTGTATCTAACCAAAAAATTATTTGCACTGACTGGGATGCAAAGAAGATGGAAGAAAATGGAAGTTCACTTCATTTCTGCTCCCGCCAAGAACACAGAAGTAATTGAAATTCATTTGTCTAGACAGTGCAATTGAATCAATCACGTGCCGACCGAATTGGTTATTTTGGTATGCCCTACATATTATCGACAGCAAAATACCCTTGCACTTTCAATCGCTTTCAAATTTTGTGCCCACAGCCCGCCCCTTCTTTTTTTTCCCAGTGAAGGCACTGACCACTAAAGCCAAGGTGCAATCCTGAGTCTTTGAGAGACTATCAAAAGCACATTGATACATTGTACTAGACCAGGAAACAAAGTTTGACGTTCTTACCATACTATGCGAGACCAGTGTTGAGAAAAGGGTAATAATGCTAGCTAGGGAGACCGAACCGAATTTGCAAACTAAATTATGTGTTACCCATAAGAAAAAAACATGTTAATAAATACTTGAGTAATAATCCAATCATCAACAACCACATCATTTGGTTTACAAAATTTAGTTTAAAATTTTGGTCTCCCTAAGCATTGCCGGTTGAGAAAACGATGACCATTACATATAATTGATTTTGCTAGCATCAATTGCGTTCACACATATGTTAACAGACAATCATTAATGGCAAACAAGGGGTTTGTCTTCAGTAGTTCGGCTTTTTATCCATTAAATTGGTAAGTAAGAAAACGTTGTGCAGTGTTAGGTCTAAATATGAGGCGGG